ACGTTCTGCCGCCTTTCAAAAACACCATATTGATAAAAAAAATCATACTTAATAATCATACACTTACAAAACTACTGACTGGAAAAACGAACAATTTCAAATGTCCCGCGGTGCGAATTTGTCGACTATCTCCCACAATGCACTTGGAAAAATGAACTCTCAGTGGCTAACTCTTGGTGGCGCACTGCATTGTGAAACGCCCGAATTGCTTTCAGTTCTTTAATTAATAACACCAATCAAACCAAAACACAGATGATCTTATGCCAGAATGTTTCAATCTTCCTTTGTAATTGGTGGGGGGGGGGGGGGGGGCTCGCCATTGGAATACAACTCTGTGCAAGCTTGTTTATTCTTGATAACGTCTGTGATTGCCTGTCGACCGGCCTTTGTAATTGCCAAGAGCTGCTTGGTACTCCCTTGCATTCTGATTGATGTGGAATATTGTCAGCTTGAGTGGCATCATTTAATTATATAATATTGGAAGGCTTCCAAGCCGTCCAATATTGTTATTATTATTATTTATATCAGGCTGACTTGATTCACAAGAAATACAATTCAAGGCACCGTCTTCATCTCTCCTACAAGTTTTGTATTTCGTCAAACTGGTTGAAGCTGCCATTGTGATTAGTGGCATCAGTCAAAGGTATACATGGCCTGCTGCGCGCTGCGTGGGCATCCGTGTTTGATGGTACCTCGTGCTACGCTCTGATGAGTGGTTGACAACTGTGAGTTTCTATGCTCTTGATCGTGTGGGAACCAGCGAAAATGTCTGGATGAGGGCGCACCGGACAATATCAAAAATACTATTGTCCGCAATGTGGGTACTAGTTTTACTGACAATATTGCTGTCATCCGGGAACGTTTTGAAAAAGATGATCTTTTGCTCAAATTGGTTTTAGTGCTCAGAAATTGTCTCAGATCACACCACAGAAATTGCTTTTCTATAACTGCATGTCTCCCCAACTATATCCCCCATTTATATTTAACTCCCCACATTTTCATCCCCAACACTACGCACTACCCGATCTATGATCGGCTAAATCAGCTTGTAAATAATAATCATGATTAAACCAACTTGCAGGATGCAGGTTGCTCTGTGTCTAATTTTGTTTAGATTTATTTCTTGTCAGTTTCCAATTATTGTACAAATCTTGAATGCTTGGGAAAAACTGATTGTCTCCTTTTCAGGGTGAGTTATTAAACAGGGGGGCCTTTTCAAACCAGGTCTATATGGTGACCACCCCTAACAAGAGTAAACTGGAGGTTAGAAAATAGCATTCCTCAATGCCAATTTGAATGCATCGAGGGAGGGTAAGCTGGCTTAGTCCATCATCAAGGAGTTCCAGTCTCTGCAGGTTTGGGAAGATGATGAGGACTAGACCTGCGTCCTGCAGTGGGGCATGGGAAACCGTGAGCAGCGACCTGTAGTGCCTCTCTGATTCTGCGAGTGCAAGTTGTCCTTTCAGTCAAAATCAGTCTAGTGACTGTGATCAGGTGCAAGTACTGTACCTTTAATCCTATTACAGTCGACTCTCGTTTATCCAAACACTGTTAATACAAATTCTGGTTACAACAAACAAAAAGCCTTGGTCCCGACTGAATTAATGTGCACAATGAATGCAACCATCGGTCCTCTTAATACAAAATTCTGATATAACAAACATTTTTGCTATGTCCAGCTGAGTTTGTATGAACGGAAGTGGACTGTAATAGCAGGTCATCAGTACTGGGCGAGACTCTGGCTGATGGGGTCCCCACTTTGATCTGTTGTGTTCATGCTGAGTGATAGTGAGTCCCAAATTTGGGACCAAACAATGAGGTGGTGAACAAAGTGCCAATAAACATTTTAGCTGGGATCTTGCCTCTCTTTTTTTTATAGCTTGGAGTTGATATTGTTAATGCTGACTGTAACATTTGTCTGTGTCTAATTTCGTTCAGTAATACCTGTCAGTTTTCAAGTACTGTACAAAGCTCGTAGGCATGGCCTTATTCATTAAGAAAATGGCTGGGAAAAAGGACCAACTGATATTCTCAAATATTATTGTTTATTTTGGGCATATTTGAAATGTTTAGACCACAAATTTGTATCTGAATGGGCGGGAAATATTCCAGATTGAAAGGGATAGACTACGTGTAGAACTAAATGACAGGAATTCTATTTTTTCCCTTCGAAAATTGCTACGTGACAAGCTGATCTCTCATCAATTTTATTACCACAATCAATTTTTTTATGGGCTGGCTGAAAGTTGAAGCATGTTCATGTTTATTTTTGATCAGTTGCAGTTTTGAATTGCTTGTACATGTTGTAAACTGTATTCAAAGGGCAATGAAATATAGTAGCGGGGCATCTCCGAGCCTAACCAAGTCTGTTGGGTAAAGTTTGACACCTACAGTAGGGTGGAGACAATCTTCTCAAACCAAGTTTCTTCCCTAGATGAGAGACCTCTCAGAGCAACTTCAAGGCTAAGGGTGCAGGTCCATTTTTGATAAAATATACCACCGATGATGACTGATTATCAACTCCCTGCTAATTACATATTAAACCTGCAACAAAGACAACTTTACGCAGAAGCGTCAGCGCAAGCAACATAATTTATTCAGTAATAATCAATAAATGTACAGCAATTGGAATTGAATTTGAGAGGCTGTGTTATTATCTGGGTTCTTTCTTACACGGTATACAACCCTAACCTAGTGCTTGTAGCAGCAATGCGCAACTTCATGCATCAGCAGTACACCACAAAAAAAATCAATGCGCAACAGCATTACGAATGCACAACAACATCAGAAATGTACAACAGTATCAGCAGGGTCTGCAATAAGCGGTATCGCATCGCAATTTGCGACACATTCGAGGCCGACTGCGACGCAATTTTTAAAGTGCATCGCAAAACTGCTATACAACATTTTGATCATGAAAAGTTGACACAAAGTGTACTTGCCACCAAATTTCAGTCCACTAAATTCCACAACTATCGGACATGGTAAACATCCATCATGTTTTGATTTAGAAAACGAACGTCAATTTTGTTCAGCTGTATAAAATCTGTACGTGTTTAGTTTGTAAAGAGGCGGCGTCTGAATAACGAGACCACGTGATAAACGCAGCTAATAATTTGGAATCGCACTTATGATCCGGACATAAGGAATGCCCGGAGCGTCAGTGCGATATCAAATTATCCGCAGCATGTATCACGTGGTAAATCACGTGCATGATCGGAGGAGGTTGCAGGACGTACGTCGAGATTTTACCTCGTAGCTTTGAATCTGCTGCGACTGTGCGAGCATTCCTCCATGGTGCGAGGAATAATTTATGGATTTATAAAAGAAATAACACGTTTGTACACTATCTGGTCAAGTATTCAACAAACTTTATTCTTATTCTCACTCACTGGTAAATATATGCATGAAATGAGTATTTTGGTGGCTAAAAAAGTTACATGCACGTCGTGCATGCTCAGTAAAAAAGCTACGTGCACAAGCTAAAATCTACATGCACTGGTGCATGCGTGCACCCGGGTAAATCGAGCCCTTTTCTCATCAAGCCCTTTTCTCATCACTATTCTTTAGATATTTGTCGGTTTATCTTAAACATTTTGCCGACACGGAAAACGGGTTTACCCCTTCAAGTAAATCACTTGATACGCACGTGGGATTCGTGGGAACTAAAACGTCAAAATCCCAGCTGTGTTGTCGTTTGTGCGCTGTTTAGCATATTGATGAAAACATGGCTACTACGAAAACTACCGGTATCAAGGCAAATACTGCCAATAATTGGCAGGCGGATCTAGACCCGGGCCAGGAATGGCCCGGGTTAATAAATTGCTTTTTCACTCGAAAGTTATTCCAGCAAGCATGCAGCTCCTGAAATAAACAGACAACTGATGAGTCACTAAGTTCACAGCTTAACGTAAGTTACTTCTTTATTGCTTTGTAATTTGTACAGTGTGACACTGACAGGTAAATAGTAATTGCAAAGCCGAGGCTAAATTTGAGTATAACAAAACTGCTATGCAAAATTGGTAAACTGCTATGCAAATCAAAATTTGCATAGCAGTTTTGCTATACAAAAAAAAATCCTTAAGGCTTACCCTGAGTATCAGCAATATACAACAACATCAGCAATGAACAACAACATTATGAATGCACAACATCATCAGCAATGTACAACAGCATCAGCAATGAGCAACAGCATTATCAATGTGCAACTGCATCAGCAATGTACAAAAGCATCAGCAATGTACAGAGATGCCACTTTTCCGGTTTTTGCCGGGATTCCGGTTTTTAAAAATTCTCATAAAATTCCGGTTTTTCTGGCCGTCAAAGAAAAACTAGAAATAGAGAACGAACCGACAGCTTAAAGGCCATAGAAGCAAAAATACAAAATAAATGGAACTAGGCTTGGCTACAGGGGAAAGATGACAATGGGGACTTCGTGTCGATGTAGCTTTTTCACAAAAAACAAAGATCCGTTTTTTTACCCCTCAGGCGAGAGGCTCGAGGGGTATTGTCATCGCCTACGGCATCCGTCCGTCCGTAGGGCCGTCCGTCGGGACGAGCAGCTTAGTTTCCGGATGATAATTTGAGTTAGAAATGAGATTTGGTAGGGGGTTGCCCTTGGGAGTAGGTAAGTTGGGATTGGTTTTGGGGTCAAAAGGTCAAAGGTCAAGGTCACCACAGTGAGTGAAAGGTAAATGGTTTCCGGATGATAACTTAAGTTAGAAATGAGATTTTGGTGTCTAACTTTGGTAGGGGGTTGCCCTTGGGAGTAGGCAAGAAATTTTAGAAATTTGTTCTTTTCTAAATAACAAATCCATATTTAAAAAAAATTATATCATTTCATGAATACAACTTCTACTGAACTGCTTCTTGATAAAGTACTCAAGATAAAATTTCACTCATTATAAATCCACTGTAGCAGATCTGTTTTTGTTTTTTGTTTTGTTTTAAACCAAAAGATGTAACAGAAACTGCCAATAGTTATTGGAACGCCCCTCAGTTCAGGTTGCAACCAATGGCAGGCAGCGTTTACAGGATCGATAGTTCGATATCAGAAGATCATGGGTCACTCGACGGCAGTCTTGGTTTCTGAGATAATAGATGAGCACGTTAAGCCAACTGTTTGTCAGGACAGGCAGCACATAGGTGAACAGGAGTACTATTGGGTGTTGGTCATGTAAGAGTAGAAACGCACAGAGTGGCAAGAGGTTGGCAACAGATGCAGTCAAAACTATAATGAGGACTGTTTTCAGGGCCTTGTTGTCGGGCCTTGCGGCAGGGTTTCCCGGTTGAGCGATTTGGTTTTCGACTTGGATGGCTCTCGCTTGGTGTCGTGATATCATGAACAGTCGTGCATATGCTATGATAGTAACCAACAGAGTGCTGACTATTATGCTTGTATAGACTATTGCTACAATTATCATGGAGGATTCTGACTGAAATAAACATATTGGGATAGGTTTGATGTAAACAGTTTTCCAACGTGATGTTAATCCGTGTGCAGTTATCATCAATACAAGGGTTCCCCACATACAACAGACTGAAATTCGAGCCCGCTTCACAGTTACAAGAGATGGGTAGCGCAACGCGTACACCACCGAAATGTAGCGGTCCACAGTCAGCAGCAGGAGTGACATCTGGGGACCGTAGATTAAGATTCCACCGGCAAATGACAGCACTTGGCAAAACGCCTCGCCAATATGCTCAGTCTCGGAAATTGCAAGTACAGTCATCGGTAGAGCTCGGAAGAGTCCCACCCCGAGATCGGCAATCGTCATGGATCTGAGGAATATCTTAGTTGTTTCCTGGATGCTACGGACATGCCTCAGGACCACAAGACACAGCGGGTTGAGGGTCAGAAGTAGGATGGTCGTTATGACGAGCAGGATGCATCGGATGAAGTTGTACTCAATTCTGTCCTGAGTTGTTGGGGTCGTGGATGCATTGAATGTAGACAGGTCTTCACTACTTCCTGTTGAATTCATGTGGATGTTCATGTTGCTTGGTCAGGTTCAATCCGTTAGTAGGAATTTTTATTGAACTCCAGGGTATGAATTACACAGACAGCAGAACTGATATTTGACAAAAATCTTTCATTAATGCATAGAGTAGTTTGAACGTAATAAGAATAAATGTAGTTGGAAAAACATCACAGATTGTAAGTGAGTGAGTGGTAAACTGCATCCAGAGATTTTTGTACGTAGGCTTTAAATGGGTGCGGCTTGTCCTTCTCATGCACAGGATGAGGAAGTGTGTATATAACCATAGGACAGCGCTGATTGGCCAGTCTCTGGTTGGCTCCTTGATTATATTTCTTTCTTTTTTTGATTGGCATTTAATATTGCCATAGTGAGTGGCACGTCGATATTACATTTATAGCAACCGTGGAACGCATTTTGCGCTACAGTTAATTTCCTGCAAAATGCCATTACCTGCCAATTTCCATTTACAATGCAATGTAATTAACTTTGCCAGTTTAACATGTTTAATCTGTTTTTAGGCCCCCCAAAAAAAATATTCGGTCTCTGGTCAGACCAAAGATCCAGAATTGACACGGCGACGCGGCTTTTTTTTTCTTTTTGCTTTTTTTTTTTTTTTCAAGCTTGGATTGTACAGACAAGGTTGCAATGGGTACTATTTTGCTTTTTGGTGTCCTCATGTACATGGGTGTCCTGAATAATTTACCTTGGTGCTCTCGATCATTTGCCGTGGTGCAATTTCCCATTCCTTGGTGCTCTTTGGTAAAAAAAATTGAGGAGGTGCGGCAATAGAGGGCGCTGTTGGAGCTACAGCGGAACATTTTGGGGGAAAAAAAGATTGACGCGCATGATTAAAATCGACGCGCGCACTGACCAGACACCGACTTTTTTTGGCCTTAATAACCCTTTTTAAAACAACAAGCCAACTTGTCCTCAACTGTTGCTTATGCCTACCGGTACCTTAAATACCGGTAACTGGCCTCATGTCAAGAAGTGGATGACTTGATTGTCAGATAAGCAGCAGCATTATTGCTATTTAAAATTGGAGACTCCTGACTGGGAAAACATCAAGCTCACAGTCTAGTTTTTCTTTATTTATTGGCTGTTTCCCCATAGCATCTGTACACGTTTTCATCGTGGAAGGCACTTTGTTTTTTACATTAAAAACAAACCGATTGACTTTAAACTCTAGAGATGCACCCTTGGACTAGTATCGAAATATATGTGTGCCGAACAATGACGTCATCATGACGTCATCAAGTGAGCCATGACGTCACATTTAATGTGCATATTTTGAAGGCCTTTTATCTACAGAACTACAAGGGCGATTGAGATGAAAGTTGGTATGTACCTAGACCGGGATGTGTTATAGATGAAAATTGTAGTGGCATCACGATGGCGTCATCACGAGTCACATGACATCACATTAAATGTGCATATTTTAAAGGCATATCTACATAACTACAGGTCCGATTGGGTTGAAAGTTGGTATGTACCTAGACTGGGATGTGTTTTAGATGAAAATTGTAGTGACATCACGATGACGTCATCACGTGACATGTGATGTCATATTAAACGTGCATATTTTGAAGGCTTATACTTGTACATGTATCTACAGGACGACAGGTCTGATTGGGTTGAAAGTTGTTATGTACCTAGGCTGGGATGTGTTATTGATGAAAATTGTAGTGACGTCACGATGACGTCGTCACGTGACATGTGACGTCATATTAAACGTGCATATTTTGAAGGCTTATATTAATAGGACGACAGGTCTGATTGGGTTGAAAGTTGTTATGTACCTAGGCTTGGATGTGTTATAGATGAAAATTGTAGTGACATCACGATGACGTCGTCACGTGACATTCTGTTGCATTTAGCAGGGTAAGGGTTAATGGGGCGCTATTCAAATTTGAAGATTATTGTTCACTGTATTAAACAATAGTGTACAAACATGGGCATCGCCAGTATTTTTTCTAGAGGGGGCAAAGCACATTTTCCCCCTGAAATCACTGTACTTTTCCAGCATTCTCGATTTATCATTTTTGGAGGGTGGGCAGGGACATTTGCCCGCCTCCAACCCATTAAATTAAAAGCGGTATGACTTTGCGTCCATTTTTCTTTCTATTTTCCCCTTTCTTCGCCTTTGATTTTTTTTGGGGGGGGGGGCTTTACCAGGGGGGGGGGCAAACCTTCCCCCCCCCAACCTCGCGACGCGCGTGCCCATGTGTACAAATACCCCAAACCCAACTGTCTCTGTCCATATTTTGTGCACAGATGTATATTTTTACCAGTTTAGTTTTTTGGGAGGGGGTTGTCACAGCAGGGGGGAGGGGTTCGCATTATTTTTAATGAATTTTACAAATGTACAAAATTTGACAGAGCTGGGTTTTTTTTCACCCCCCCCCCCCTTGGATCTGTGCCTGCTGATCTTCATTACCAAATACATTTGTTGATGTCTGTGGCTGGCTAAAAATTTCAACATTTTTTCTATCAGTTCTTAATTGCAAGTACATGTTGAAAACTGTATTCAAAGGGCAATGAAATATTGTGGTCAGGCATCTCCGAGCCAAACCTACGTTTGTTGGGATAAAGTCGGACACCTATCAGGATGCAGACAATCTTCTCAAACCAATGTTCTTCCCTAGATGAGAGACCTCTCAGAGCAACCTCAAGGCTAAATGGTGGAGGTCCATTTTGGCAGAAATGTACCGCCTATTGTGACTGATTGTTAATCTGCTAATTACATATTAAATGTAAACCTGCAAAAAAGACAACTTTACAACAGAATTGTCAGAGTAAGCAACACAATTTATTCAGCAATAATCAATAAATGTACAGTAATTGGACTTTAATTTGGGTGTTTTTTCATTATATCTGGAGCCTTTCTTACACAAGATACAACCCTAACCTAGAGCTCGCAGCAGTAATTCACAACATCATCAGCAGTGCACCACAAAGTCAACAGCAACAGCATCGGCGATGTACCGTACAACAGCATCAGCAATGGACAACAGCATCAGAAATGCACAACAGTATTAGAAATGCTCAACAGCATCAGAAACAACAACTGCATCAGCAATGTACAACAGCGTCAGGAATGCACAACAACATTAGGAATGCACAACATGGTCATGACTGTTTTAAATCACGTTGATTTTAATTACTGATTTAAATCGCGATTTAAATCAAATGATTTTTTTTTTTAAATCACTGATTTAAATCTCTTATTTGCAAAAATCTTATTTTTGGTAAAATAAATTGATTGAGGGTCATTTTAATCATTTAAATCAACTGATTCCACTTACATGTAATTACAAAGTGGATGTTGCTAACACATTCAAACACCCCTACTTCATCAGCATCGACTCAACTTATCTAGGTTTGCATAATTACCCAAAATCATTGTTTTTTATTAAGTCAAGATCTGACTTAATTTAAATCCAAAAAATCTGGTAACAAAAAATTTTGTTTTGATTTTTTAAAAGAAAAAAAAAGCCAACCCTGATGCACAACAACATCAGCAATATACAACATCAGCAATGTATAACAGCATTAGCCATGTACAACAGCATCAGGAATGCACAAAAACATCAGCAGTGAACAAAAGCATTAGGAATGCACAACAGCATTAGAAATGCTCAACAGCATCAGAAACAACAACTGCATCAGCAATGTACAACAGCATTAGGAATGCACAACAACATCAGCAATGTACAACAGCAACGGCAATGTACCGGTACATGTACAATGGCATCGGCAATGTACAAAATCAGCAATTTACAACAGCATTAGCAATGTACAACAGGATCAGCAATGTATAACATCATAAGCAATGTACAACAGCATTAGCAATGTATAACAGCATCAGCAATGTACAACAGCATTAGCAATGTACAACAGCATCAGCAATGTTGATCATCAGCAATGTACAACAAGTCTGCGCACGCACCTTAAAGCCACCCTCAGGTCGAACTTGCGACAAAAAAAAATAGTCAGCGACTGACTTTTCAGGATCAAGCTGCATCTCAACTACGACCGTCGGAATATATCAGTTGCTTAACAACTAATCTAACTAACTAAAGTTTAAATCAGTGAATGCTGTGAACGGTATATTCAAAGTAAATAATAATCTAGGATCTTGATTTCAATTCAAAAGTTGCAGAGTCATGTTTTGACTTGCGTCCGAAATCAGCACCCGGCACACGTTCTAATTGCAACCGATGGCAGCTACACAATGTCATGCACAGACCCGACGAATAATAGCAGCACGAATAATAGCAGCCATGCGCTTATGAGTCACGTCAATGCTTGTGTGCACCCGTTCACTGATTCGCCCCGAATTTCAAACCAACTATTAACGGAAATTTCCTAAGCGGGTCACTTGACACATCTTTGGAAATTGCCTTCTTTTATTGTTTTCTTCAAAATGACAGCATGCCAGAAAGAGTAATTTCACAGGGAGTTTATTGTTAAACCAAGTAAGTTTTTCAACAATAATTTTATCAGTTACTGTTTGGGTAGCTGCAAATGATCTACCAGTACTCTACCTTTAATTTTGAAATGAGGCCATCCCTTGACTGGCAATTATACCGTTCCATGAATACAACTTCTACTGAACTGCTTCTTGATAAAGTTCTCAAGATAAAATTTTACCCATTATTAATCCAATGTAGCAGATCTTTTTGTTTTTAAACCAAAAGATGTTACAGAAACTGCTGAAAGGTATTGGAATGCCCCTCAGTTCAGTTTGCAACCAATGGCAGGCAGCGTTTACAGGATCGGTAGTTAGATATCAGAAGATCATGGGTCGCTCGACGGAAATCTTGGTTTCTGAGATAATAGATGACTGTGTTAAGCCAACTATTTGTCAGGCCAGGCAGCACAATGGCGAACAGGACTGCTATTGGGTGTAGGTATTGTCTGTATAGTAACGCACAGAATGGCAAGAGGTTGGCAACAGATGCAGTCAAAACTATAATGAGGACTGTTTTCAGGGCCTTGTTGTCGGGCCTTGC